CTCATCGTTCCTTATCCTACAGTTTGTTTTCACAGGTTTATTGTTAGGGACCTTAATGTAAACAGTCTTTACGTCTGTGTGAGGTACACTGGGTAACTGTATTCTCGAGATAAACGGCTTGACTATAGCTCCTGGCCGCAGGTGTTACGTCACACAGCCTGCAGTACCTATCGACCGGTCAGCTAACTGCACGCCACGTACAGAACGCCAGCAAGTCAAACTAAATAAATCTGTAAATTTTTTCATTGGATTCTCGACTGTATGCAAGAATAATAAAGTAGAAAATCTCAAAAAAAAAGAAAAAGTGTATGTTCGTGTGCTGCAGTCTGTACTTTACCTACGGGATTCATCTCATCATTTATTCATACTGCAGCTTACATTGTGAATTCGTTTTGCAAACTTTCAGAGATAGCGTTATCCTTTAGTACTGTTGGAACAGTCCCATAATACTACAGGATAATGGTTACTATCTCTTCTTTATCTTTACTTTCTTTACACAGATACAGAAATCCATAGAAAGATTAGATTAGATTTCTCGATGATACAATTTCTTTATAGTAGACAGTTAAATTTAATAGACTAATGTACTAAGTAAGTATACTTCTAAACACTTATTAAAGAAATATCTTTGAAATACCTACAAAACAATTAAAAGCTACATTACAGGCTCTTTCCAAGTAAAATTGCACTTAGGTATACCTCTACAAAACACATACATTAGTAGTCATATTCCTTTTAAATCATTAACATTAGTTTTGTATGGTATTTGTATTAAAGGACCGCAATACAGAATATTGTTACAAGATGTTTAATTAAGATACTCGTAGTACTACGAGTAAACAGTGCTGTTAAAACTATTTTATACCTCGTGGGCACTAACAATAGTATTGTATGAGCACCTACTATGTGTGTTAGTTTATAGCCTCACCCAACGAAGTGCCGTAAAGTAAGGGGTCGAGATCGCATTTCATTCTAAGAAATAAAGTATTAAACCATCGCTGGAGCAGGAAGCTAATCTCCTGCAGCCCGCGGCTCAGAAATAGGAAATATCTGATACCAGTTGACCTCAAATATTTTGCTTTTACCAACAAAGCGACTAACGACTTTCCGTTCAATGCTGATAAAATCTTGAACATAACAAGTTTTCTAAGTACATACATTGTCAAGATTAACGCTAAGCAGCCTAACCTTTCTTGAAAATATTGATCGAGTTGCGTTAGCCAAACTTAAGCTACTTGTCTACTGAATATATTACTAAGAAACTACGAAAAAGTAAGTCCTTGAAGTGAGTCATTAATCATAATCAGCTACTTAATGTTCATCAACAACAAAATTAATTATCTTCGCTACGAGTAGCCACACAAGTTTAGACATAATATTCCGCAGGATGTCGAAGAGAGGTTATTGTACGAAATATCGACCCACACACCACTAGAAATAGATAAATCAATAGCACTTAATATTGGATGTCGCAGTCTGTCAATCTGAGGAACCCATCAATATTGTTAAAGTACAATAAAAGTTGGAGAACTGCTCAAGCAGCTGAGATTCGTTTAAAGATATAAAAGGTTGGATAGAACGGAGACGTCCGCTGCATTCCAATAGTCCTTTCACGCTTAGAAGTGCTTCGCAATAACCTGCGCAACGTGCCATCGGTTAAATGTCGAAGAACAGATTGCTCTCAGCGACCTTACACTCTATAATAGAACAGTGTATTTATTGCACTGCACTTTATATCACATCCAGGTTACTAATATATGAAATGAATATTCCTCATTCACTGCAAGTGTTTTCCATTTCCGCAGTAAGAACTATACCTGAACGATACCTAGTGAAGATATACAGAATAATTTATTATAATTCATTAGTCCTAGACAAGTCCCTCGGTCAGAATGCACGAGCTAACTTCGTGACAAAGCAAAACATGCAGCGGCACCAAATAAACAACTGTATACACCTAACAAAAAATACGAGGAATGCAAACGGGCAAGGGCAAAACAATTTGTATTGGAACTTATTTAAATCATTAACTAAATTGATGCCCTGGAGGTATTCAAATGATCATTGGAAGAACAAAACTGGAAAAGGAAAGAAAGTTTTTTGTGAGCGTGTCGTTGATCGTGGTGGAGGACGGTGTGCGGGCGCGAGCGCCGGGCACTCACCCTGCAGGCGCGGGACGCGGGGCAGGACTGGAGGGCGGGGGCGATACCACTACTACCCATACCTTGCCTCAGCTGGGAACCACGGAAGTGCCTGCTATAACCTCTCCGTGATAGATCCTTTATCAAGCTCAAAGGCATCTTTGTTATTGTTATGTTTTGTACAAAAAGGATGACGGTGACTTAATTGTGAGGATCACGATTGGGATTTCAACAACTGTATTATGAAGTATACCTTTCTACTTAATACTCAAAGTAAGAGTGAATTCAATTGGCAAGAATTGCATAAGTACCATAAGAATTTCAAGAATGTTAAAAATCACTTGAATGGCTTCATAGAAATAACTGAAACGTCATTAATTCAAATAACAAAAGGTTTCGAAGTAACAAGTGCTTCTCAAACGAATCTTATGGCTTTGAAGGTCCCACCGCCTTTCAATGTGCCACTACCAAACAAAGGTTTGGAGACAAAAAATCTCTTCGTTTGCAAAAGGTCCGTTCAACTACCTGCTTCAAAGACAGCCGTAAGAAAGGCCTCCGTGAGGTTGAATATTAGTGATGTATACGGTACACCGTAACTTTGCAGTCGATGACACATCGCGTCCTGACCCGCCATATTTGATGATGATGTGCCCAAATGTTTGAAAATAGCAACCTCCATGATAGCATTTGAATTGTCACATACATTATAATGAGTCATACACAGAATAAAGTATCTTTTGAATACGGGTAATGAAGCCTCACGTGTATCCGGCAATGCAAAAAATATGAACCACGAAATTCGTTTGGGTTTCGGCAAAAACTGTTTCTGCGTCCAATTGGTCATGTGCTCATGAATGCTTCTATAGATTAATAGTTTTTAATGGTATAGGAGTTACCGCCACCTACAATGCTTTTATTATTATTTCGATCAGCAGTTAGTTTCACAATCCTATTTTGAGAGTACCTAACCGTCTTATTTGGAGTCCTTATTTCATTTTTTCTCAAAAATAGGAACGTCATTGCAGATAACCTTTGATATGCAATAAACTCATATGTAGGTCAGTCTTAAAACGTATCAGTTGCACTCATTTCTGGTCAAGTGCGTGTCTGCTTTGAGTTAAATAAAGAAACAAACAGATAAGGACCGATACATTGGAAAGTCTAAACCTGTCTTTAGAAGATCTTTCAAATGTGTTGAAGTAGAATGATAAAAACAAACGAGAATGTGAGCGGAGTCCACCTGTTGACAGCGCACCTGGCGCAGGCACACACTAGGGTGGCGTGCACTCAACCACCAATGTTTATCTCATCTACAAATATTTAAACATCGCGTGACTGAGCCTCGGATGCATCTGACACGTCTCGGAGGATACACAACAAAGATAAAAAGTTCAAAAGCCTTTTTCTAAAGCCTCTTAATATATACCGACTATAATAATTATACTAAAGTAGTCAAACAACTGTCTAGTAACTAGTAACTAGTACAATATCCGGTTTGCCGTACCTTATTCGCTGGCCGCATCAAACACTCTTCTACCTCGGAGGATGTGTTGCTTCATTTACTACAATCTTTTAAATATCACTTAAGTTATAGAAACACTCCTGACACTTTACACTAAACACAAAAACTTTTTTATCTAGTTGATTACTTCCATCTACTGCTGTTCACACGTTTCCTTTTGCTTCGGTTACAACTTATTCATACTTGTCGACTACTTTTCATTTATGATTATCACTTTCATTGCTTTGTTTTACCGCATTTAAAATTTATTTATTTTTCATGAGTGAATGTATCGGAGAACGCTCGCGGCCGTCCGCCGTCGACTGTAGAAGTAGTAACGTACTGGCATCGCGGCAACCACCACGCTGAGTGGGAGGAGGATTAAGAGACAGTGCTACGGAGAACGAGTGCGTTAGAAAGAGATGGCGGCATACATCATCACCGGTACATTTATAAGGCAACTAATGAAAACTGTCCTCTAAATAAATTAAGTAACTCACAAAGTCGAGGGTATCCATTTTAACCGTATAATACCGGTTTTACCTGTGTCCGACAGCGTGCCAATAAGGTAATTCGAATTCCTGTGGAGTGAAAAAGACGGAGATTTGTGTCGAAGGCTCTACACACATACGTCGTAAGGGTTACAGTTCGGAAAGAAAATGTTAATAAATTAAATTTGAATACTGGGTTCGTTAACGGTCACGACGCCGAGGTGCAGAGAGCAAACGGGAGATACAGCGCGTGATAGTAAACAAACCGGTTGAAGCTTCTTTAATTATCGATTCATAATTTAGTATTGTATTCAACATTTTCGCACCGCACAACAAAAGAGTGCGAACACTTTCTAAAGGAGAATGTTCACGTAACTATGGAATTTCGTCTTAAGTTGTTGCACAATAAATCTTTATTTATTATAGACCATGCTTATTATATTATCGAATAAAAGCTTTCATTTTCCCATAAATATCCGGGTTTTTAAGTAATTAGACAAAAACGAAAATAACCTAAAATTATGTTTAAACTGTCAAACACCGTGCGGTCACCGGTGACCGCAAACTATTGTTCTTTAATTGTGTCTATAGATAATGACGGTACTCAACGAGTTGACTTCTCGCAACGTATAAAATAACCACAGATCTGACAGATCACTCATATAGGTACAACAATTAAAACACACAAGAAATAAAAATAAAACAAGTCACCAGCTTCTATTTGTAAAAAAAAACAACAACTTCAGTCAGATTGTTTATTAGGTTTAACTTATCTCAGGGCTATAAAACATAATTATGAACATTTCATGTAGGTAATCAATATTCAATGTAGAACAAGTACTTGTATTTTGGAGACTCGTTTGCCAAAGAAAAGAAAAAAAAAGTACTTGTATTTTAGATGTCCTACATACATATATAACATGAAATAGAATTGTGTTAGGTATATAATACCTTAGTTATTCCTCATACTCCATGAAATAATCGTCTAAATACGAAGCTGGAGCAGTTATATCATTATAGCGCCCCCAGCTCAAAAACCAAACTATAGTCATTATATGAGCGCAACAGCCCACAGTTCTTTTTCCTACCAGACAGCTGCATGAGTAACCGACAATCGCGTCTAATGCATTAGCCACAGCATCATCTTTGCTAATTAATAAGTAGGTAAAATAGGTGCGACTACTTATGTGTCTCGATTTAATCCTGCCTCTCAACAGATAGTTATTATGTCCCAAAATCAGAGGTATATCATCCTCAATCACGTCATTTACTTCTACATGATACGTACCAGTCCGACGGACATGTTCCCCATAGTACGATCTGGCTTGTTTAAGTTGATAGGTACCCAGAGCAAATTGCTTTAAATCATTAATTGATAGTCGGGGAAACCTATTTAAATGTAGATTAATGTGATCAATCATTTGAAAATTCGTTCTCCTTCTATTCAGATTTTCTTGTTCTACATATATTGCTAAATGGTTTTCAAGCTCAAGCCTATTTTTTGCTATTCTAACATACTCTGCAGCCTCTGGTGGATCCTGTATGGATACATGGAACATGTTTGTTAGTGCACAACATATTCTAAAATCGTCCTTTAGATGCAAAGCAGCACGATTATTATATACATGTCGAAAGAGTCTAAAGTCCCTTTTAATTCTCCCATTAACGACTTCTACAACCCAACGACACATAGTTACAAAACGAGACCGATTTGCTTGCTGGGTTGTCAACTGATGTTCGTTTTCTAATAAAGATTCTGGCATGTGTGTCACAAAACCACATTCTTGTAATTCATATATGACATCCCTGAAACCTCTGTCAAGTATAAAGATGTCGCCTGTCCGGAAAAATGTTCTTATACCAGACTCCTCATTACGAAGATTCAAACTAGTAATCGTAGCATCATTAGTGGTTGCTTTATAGGGCCCTAAACAATCTATTATGTGACCATCACAACATACTATCATAAATGGCTTTACTAAATTATCTAGTTTCTGCAAACTATAAGTCTGTTTTTGAAATAAATAATTAGTGCTACTCTGCATAAATACATATGTTGCATCACACATGACTATTGCCGGTTTGGTATTTGGGGGCAAATCTGGATTACCAAATAATCCTTCAGGGATTATTCTATTTCTAGAAGCAACATCTTCTATGGTTAGATGATTAAATCCTAAATGCATCGGTACAAACTGTCTAGTTAGACACTCTCTAGCTGCATTCATCCAGCGTTCTAAGGTAGTTCGAGATTTCTCGAAAAGTGTTGCCAATCTTTCGTTACTATCACCTGTTCGCAGTTTAACTAAATACATAGACAAAGCAATAGTGGCATTAGGTACAGAGTCTGACAGACTTGGAATAGAATTTAATAAATCATGAAATTGATTAGAAGTCATACCTAACCAGTAATGACATAAATATGCCGGCATAGTTGCAATATTCGAAAAATCAATGTGGTATTTGGCAGCTCGCTGCAACATGTTTAAAATGTTATCAAACTGTGTACCAGTAAAATCTCTTAGCTGGGAGGTTAATTCATTCCAGTGACCATGATTTAAATGATAATTGCAAATTCGTGCTCCGGGTGGTACATAGAACCTATGATTTAAAAGTAAAAGATCCTTAATAGCAGCAGGAATCAGTAAACGTTCTGGTTCAAAACAGTCAACAAATATACAATGACTAGCTGTATTAGCACCACGTCTGTACACAGATGAAGTTATTTTATCCCTTGTTGGAGAAGGTTCCCAGACATGTTGAGGAAGGGGTGGTGGTACAGGTACATTAAAATCTCCACTCGTTCCCACATCTGGCAGAGTGGGGCGATTAGAGTCTAATTGATTTTGACGTCTCACTTCTCTATAAGCTGCCATCCAACAAGGACTACATACTCTTTCCAATCTTGAAACCTAAAAAGAACAAATTGAAATACATGAACTCAGTATAATTGATTAGAATAAAACATTAAAATAATAGGTATGCAATATCAGCACTAATACAATATTATTATTAGTGAGTGAAATATCAGTATAATATAAGTCTAGTGTATGTTCAAATTCAAATACTTTTAAACCCAACACAACTACTGGCTTTGACACACCGCCAACCTTACTCACTCACACAACATGCAGTTATATATATTACTGCAGTTTTGCAAGGTGAAATTCCCCAAGAATGAAATCTAGCATTATAGAAATATATGCAAGTCCAAAATACATACCAAGTGCAGTGGAACATTTCTTAATATAACATTCCTTTCTTGGCAGTCAGATCGCACAGTATATGTTCTTGATGCACGTAAAATAGACAATCCACAAGAAAAACATACACTTCTGTGACCAAAAGCAGGCAATGGGAAAGCATTTTCAGGTACAATGAATGTGTTTGCTCGATCTTGGAGTAACACCATACACTCTGTACAAAGTACACTTTCAGATGAAAGCTGAAATAAAAAAAATATTTTTAATTCTGATGTTATCCTGAAATATTTTACCCAGGCTTGACACCAGTGTAGTAACTTAACTTAAAGAGTGTAATAAAGTGGAAAAGAGTTTTTCTTTGTTTAAACACTCATCTCCAGCACAACAGAACCAATTTGAAAAAACTTTTTATAGAGTCTATAAAACAAAGAAAAATTCTTTTCCACTTTATTATATTAATATTAATATATAATGTAAATCAACAGTATATTAGTTATTAGCTTGAATGAGATGGCACTCTGACCTTATTTAATATACCTACTTACTATGTATGATTAACAATTAACTATGTAAAATAAAGAGATTTACATTTCTTCACTAATCATAAAAATATAAGTTAAATGGTGCCCTATTACGTTAGCTGGTTAAAGTACAGGATGGTAGCAAGTCTGGTAACCAAGAAGTACTTAATAAAATGAAGCTTACCTCAGTGGGAGTTATCCAAGATTGTAAAATGGTAATCATCGTAGCAGACGCTTGTTGCAAGGAATGCTCCTGGTGATTTCTGGGTATCAAAAGCGAACAATTGACACATCGGCTTCTCCTCCTTACCACCGGTATCGTTTGATCAGGGTCAAGCATCGACATGATTACTTAAAGTAGGTTAGACTCAAGAGTTCATTCACACAGCACTTCAAACGTCCTGGCGTAATAAAACAATAACTAAATATAAAAACGTCTTGTCGTATACTACATTACAACTAAACACAACACATAAAACGTTTTGGCGTATATAAAACTTAACTAAACATAAAAACGTCTTGTCGTATGGAACTCACGCTTATTTATTCAAAAGTTCAAAACAAACACTCAAACAGTGAAACAGAAACAGTTTTCCATAATCCAAATGCCGCCACTCTGTCTGTCACATGTCATGACAGTTGCTTCTGCGTGAGACGGAACACAAAAATAATTATAATTGTAACAATACTACAAAATACTAAATAAATACATTATAAAATGTATTGATATTACAAATTATTTAGCTATTTATTGAAGTTGATATAATTTTTGTGATGATTTTGCCGAAAGGTTCTACTTACGTGATTCGTAAACACGAAGTTTTATTCGTAAGTTAGCACGGAACGTCAATGTCCTTGAAACGGAAATTCCATAGCAATTTTTATGTTACTATTAATCTTATCATCATAATTCCGGATACGAATATACAATTCCTGAAGTGAAAAGGTTGTAAAAAATAAGAAAATTATTTCTATATTATTTTGATTTTTCAACTTGAAACTTTGCTAGACTGCTTTTGGTCAATCTCCTTTGCGTAGTACAGAAAATAAGCGTTAAATCCGTTAATTCAATAATCGCGTTACGGGAAGGTAGTAGGTACAACATACACACGAATTGTGCAAACTTGTACAACGCATCGGCTGTACCTAGTAGTACTACTTACTGGTATGAATCAAAACGCAACAACGCGGCTACTTTAATTTGCGGTTCTTACAACAAAACAAAGAAAAGCTTCACTTTTACCAATTAGCTCGTTGGCGCAAGCGGCCGACAGACGCGGCTTTGTTTCCGAAAACAAGTGAAAATCTATTCGATATCGACAGTCGACACACTTTCGTTACACTTGCCACGGATTTCTATTGTGTAACATTATTTTGAACATCTACTGACTATCATTATTCCGTAACTCATTTGTGAACCCAAAATACCCAGCTTTTACTTTCAATATTTAGGATCATACTACTTATACACCTGGAAATCTATATACAAAAAGATAAGAACTTTAATGTTAAAACAGTAGTATAACATCTCAGCCATTTTCTCCTATGTTTATTCATAAACAAACATATTCTACAAGTCGTGAGAAATAATTAAATGTTTTTAAATTCAAATGAAGCAGCTGCTTCTTCTTGATAAGGTATCTGCAACAAAATGCAAATGAAATGGAAACGTTGAACTAAAATTAAACGAAGCTAGAAATGTGGCGGCAAGGCGTTGTATCAGTGAGCTTTCATTGTTTCTTACTCTTCCATTTCTCACCTCCGCTGTGTTATTATCATCTTACCATTAATTACCTGACTATAAGTGTGTGGTAATTGTTGCCTACATAAAGCTAATGTTGATTGATTGAAAAACATCTCTGGGAATGCTACATAATTGAAGGTTCCATCATCTTCACAATTATTACGATAACTTGTATCTACTCATTTTTCAATAACTGTTTTTAAAACCTTATTACAAGACAATTGGTCTACTTTAAACACGGATTTAAATTGGGTAAAGAGAAAGTAAATCACTTTCCGATTTCTTCACCTTTTTACATGGCGAATACGGAATTAGGTAGTTTGTAGCGAAACAATTTCATTGTCAATTATTCGGACGTGCATCGCATTCCTCATTACTAGATTTAGTTCCAATTGGCAGAGACGGAAAGAAGTAGGTAATAAATAAATCAGTAATGGTATAACGATAGACAGAAAATACTTGCTAGTTAGTTTCACTATTTCCTATTGCAATATTGTCCCGATTAAATTGCCATCATTTGAAATCCAGTTAAGTAGAATCAGTAGTTAGAGACAGTTAACCCAATATAAAGTGCCTGATAATGGTTTAGTTTTGAAAAAGTTTATCATGAAACCATCTTCTATAAAATCTGCACAAAATTGCAGACTGGGAGATCATAATGAATGGTACCTATCTACAAAGAAGTTACAACCATCTGCATAGTACTTTATCAATGTGGGCGCAAACCCGTTATCTTTTTTTTTTTTTTTTTTTTTTTTTTTTTAAAAACGTTGCCCCACACTAGGATTTTCTCCTGTGTCGTGGGTGCGTTTACAAACATTCAAGTTCACATACACAATGACACCCAGACCCGGAACAACAATTTGCGGATCACACAAAGTGTTGTCCCGTGCGGGAATCGAACCCGCGACACGTTGCACGGCAGCCGGTTGCCCAGCCACCGCACCAACCGTGCAGTCATGATCTATTCCGGTTATCTCCTGTCCACAAGCTCAATGACGGATACGGTTTTAAATAAGGAGAGCATCAGTCTTTAAGTAGCAATTTTCGCCAGATGTCACTGCGTGATCAGCATCGTTTAAGAGCCTACGGCAATGGAAATCGAACCAACGGCTGACCCCTTTCTGCGATGAATAGTAATGACCCTACTTGGATTGTTCACGGTGCGACTCATGCTCATATCGATTATATATGCATCAGAACCAGCTTTTGTGGGTTGAGGCGTGCCACAAGATTCGTCATATAACTTATCCAAGTTTAATCAAGTTTAATGTAATGTCAAGCGGGGTATTGGCGCTTCTTACTCATCATTATGTTGTTGACAATAACACGTTAAAGCCCAAACAGTTAGGTCAGTGGAGCAATAATAATAAAGGATTTCCTTTAAATTTTTTTATTGGCTCTCCAAAAATCTTAATCAAATTCAGCAGAAACCTTATAAGTTCATCTATGCTTAATAATTTGCGACTTTCAGACTATACCTATATGACTGCAGAAATTATTTCACTTAATAGACATTTATTACAGAAACTCAGTAGTCAATACAGATACCTTGAGGTAGCGTCACTATGCTCATCTAATTCACCATCTTAAACACTTTTGACCTCAAAACCGGTTTACTTTACCATCCTATCTGTAAGTACACAAGTAGGTATGTACTCGCGTTTTTATCAAGTAATGAGACTTATAAGGCACACATGGGCACATGTAATTCTACACGATTATGTATGTACTAATGTACCTACGTATACGCCGCAATGAAGGGCCCGCTTGCCATGATCCAATCTCCTAAATAAAAGTTATTTCGCAACTCGTTTGCTGCTAGCGTTGTTACTTTATTTGTAGGACTGAAAAGGATTAGATTAAAAAGATTTTTGATAGAATATCTTTAGACTGAGTAAGGAAATTGGTTGAATTTCAATGGCACCCAGATTTTTATTCATTATGTATCATCTTAGTGTAATACGTCTGCTATTTTATTCGATTTCCAACGGATTTCTTTCGCAATTTCTTTCGAATCAATCCTTATCAATGCGAAAGAATCCGTTTCCAATTCAATCATTAATAGATTCCTGTATTGGAAAGAGCTAAACATATATCGTAGCTCCTTTCTTCTACTCTTTACCAAATTGATTATAGGATAAACATTAAGAAGTG